GGGGAAAGCACTGCGCTCTCAGTGGCCAAGTGCCAAGGGTAAGATAAGATGCAAGGCCTGAACATTGGTCTGGCAACCTGGAGGCCACTGGCTGGAGCCGAGCGATGAAGTAGAGATGAGTGTAGACAAATATTAGAAGATCGTGATTTTTGTCAATGGGATAATGGTATCAAGAGAAAATTTTGTTTTATTTGTTTATTTATTTTTGGCTTTTGAGACAGAGTCTTAGTATGCAGTTCAGGCTGGCCTTGAGCTCACTTTGTAGCCCAGGCTGGCCTTGAACTCACAACGATCCTCCTACCTCAGCCTCCCCAGTGCTGGGATTACAGGCTTGCGCTACTAAGCCTGGCAAGAGAGAATTTTAAAAGGAAAGAGATGTGGCTGGGCATGGTGGTGCACACCTATAATCCCTGCACTCAGAAGGCTGAGGCAGGAGCATTGCCATGAGTTCGAGGCCAACCTGGGCTACACAGTGAGACCTTGTCTCAAAAAACAACCAACCAACCAACCAAACAAACAAACAAATAAACAAACCAAGCAAACAAACAGGAAAGAGATGAAAGTCTTGTATCATATTTGCAGAAAGGGCAGTTGTTAGGTAGGAGAGAATGACTCCATCTATGGAGCATAATCTGGAGTAGGTGAGGGAGGGGGTCGGGTGTCTAAGACTGGTGTGTACCGGGGCAGGGGCACTTCCATCCATGCCAGAGGGGAGAAGGCAGAGCATTTGGGCACTTATGCTGGGAAGGCAGCAGACCTGGTGATGAGGCGCTGAGCTGGCCTGAGCTAACTGTGCTTTTCCCCAGGGGCATTTGGTGCCTGGCTATCAGCTGAGATGGACTACTGGAAGAATGCTTGGAAGAATGTGGGTGGAGGTGGAGGAAAGAGGAGAAGGTATGATATGGTCCTCTCGGAGAATCGGGTTAAAGTTAGGGTTAGGGTTAGGGTTAGGTTAGGGTGAAATTTCTTAAAGATGCTGAGTGCCCACTTGAGCTTTGTGGTTAGAAGTCTAATCTGCAGCTATCAGTCCACCTGTACGTTCTCTACTCAGGAGCGGGTACCACATGGAGAAGGTCCTGCCAGGTGAGTGCTAGAGAGGTGCACAAAGGCAAAGGAGTGGAGGATATCAACAAGGTGATGATCATTTAGGGACCTGTGGGGCCTAAGATGGAAAGGAGAGAAGGGAGCCCAAGAAATGGGTGGTGGGCAGTGAAGTATGGTGGGTCAGTGGGACGGGCTGAGGGTTGCTAGAGTAACCTGGGTGTTACTTTGACTTCTCCCTGCACTTGATCCCCACACCCAATCAAATCACTAGATCTTTTTGATTCTATCATACACACACACACACACACACACACACACACACACACACACACACCTTGAATCCAGCTACTTCTTTCCATCCCTACTGCACACACCCTGCCTGGTTCAGGCCATTGTTGTGTCTTGTTTGGATTAGACAAGGTCTAGGTGGGACAGTGCCTGTGGGAGGGTTTGATAGGTAGAACAGAAACCTTGTTGGGAGCCAGGAAGCCAGAGAATTGAGAGGCCAGGGTGTAGATGTGATAACAAGTGTAGGAGTGGAGAGAAAGACAATGAGCCAGTGATGAAGGTGAAGGATTGGGAATAACCAGGATATCTTGTTTCTATCTCAGATTCACTAAGTCTGGAACTGAAATCATTGTTCTCCCCCAAAACTGCTCCTCTGCTGGGGCTCCTCTCCGGTACGTGGACTATCGCCTGGAACCAGAACTGGGGTGTTACATGACTCCTCCCTGTACTTGACCCCCACACCCAATCAAATCGCCACACCTTCTCGATTCTAGCGTGTACACACGTCTTGAATCCAGCTTTTTCCATCCCCATTGCACATGCCCTGCCTAGTGCAGGCCGTTGTCGTGTCTTGTTCAGATTATTCCATCAGATTGCAAACAGGTAGCCCTGCCCTGGTCCCGCCACACAGCAACCAGAGATCTTGTCACCTCTGTGCTACATCTCTCCAGGGCCTTGTCATTGCTTTAGGACAAAGTCCAACATCACTGACAGTGATTTACAAAGAAAGCGCTGCCTACTTCAGCCTGACTCTTTGCCACTGGCCCTTTGCCTCACTCAACTATCTTGGGTTTCTTTCAGTCTCTGTCATTAGACCTGCTCTCCCTTTGCATGTGCTGTCCCTTTCACTTAGCAAAATCCTCCTGTTTCTCTAGGTGAAAGTGTAAGAAGTCACAAGGAGCCCTTTCCTGATGCCTGGATGTCAGATCTTCTTTCTGCTCTCTCCCAACTCCTCATACTTTTCCATGAATGTGGTAGTTGTTCTCTTCTCTAGATGTTTCTCGAGATCAGAGACTGTGTCTGATTCTTCCAAGATTTAGCAAGGAGCATCACATAGAAGTAAGCGGTCGATATTGTTGATCCGAATCCAGTGGAAGGCTCTAGAGGTGGAGCAGTTGTGGGTGATGACAAGATCCAGGCAGCACTTCTGTAGGACCATTGTAGCGGAAGAGGGGATAATGGCACGAAAAGGATAGGGTGAAACTCTGGTAGGCCCTGTGGCCTCCTAGGCTCTAGGAAAGCAACAAGAGAAGACCTTTGGCCATGGTCTCAGTCTTGAATGAATGAGTGAGAAGTTGCTGGCAGCAATGGGGACAGAAAAGAAGGTGGAAGAGGGAAGATGGCAGAGACAGGTGCAAGAGGGGAATTTCTAGGAAAGTGGAGGTGTAGGGTCTGAGTGGTGGTAAGAGTGTGGAGGCTGAAGGTGAGACAGTCCAGTGGCTGAAGTATCGCCTAGAGGGTTAGTTTCAGGCCCCTCTAGCGGGCTCAGGCTGGTCCGATGGTGTTGGGCTTCACCTTGTTCCTGGCTCAGGACTCCGGACCTCCAGGAAGCACACCCACAGGGAGGACACTTGGGAGCTGCCTTGGTCTGAGCAGTGTGGGGCCAGCTGGTTCAGTTGGAAGTGCTACTCTATCCTGGGCTGGGTGGGCACAACTCTGGTCTGGATTGGGGATGACAGCCACCTTTGTCTGGGGTCAGGAGTTTAATATGTGGTACTGTGCCCTGCCCGTGTTCCCTTTACTGGGAACACCCATTCCCCATTTGTGGTGAATATTAGCTGCTCATGGGTTATAGCTGCCCCAGGAGAAATGGCCTTGACTGAGCAGAAGCCAATACCCCTTTCTGCCAGCCTTCCTGCCATTGGGTTGGCTTGGAGCCAATGACTGACCGACGGGGGAGTTCAAGAGCTCAGTGCCCTTGCCTGCAGAGTGGGACAACTCTGTGGTGAGATTCATGATCCACATTCCCCCCGTTCCTGTGAATTGGGTCAAGCTACAGTTCTCCGAGTACACAGCTAATTCAGCTCAGCCTCTTTCCCCCGCTGCTTCTGCTCTTTCCTTCATGTGTACAAAATCCCTGCCCCAGGCTCTGCTTCTAAGGAACCTGGGTGACCCTCTGGTCTTGTTCCATCACCCAGGGTGGACATGGAGACTATCCAGTGGCCCTAGGAGGTCACTTCCTTCCTCTATGTGCAAGATACTTTACTTGTACATAAGAGCTTTAGGCTGGATTTCATTAACAACACCATATCCAAAAAAAACAAGAAACAAATGAACAAAAAACCAATTTTCTGACCTCCCGGCTAGGCGACGTGTGGTGGAGGATTTAGATAAACAAGCCTCAGTCATTCCCTAAGCAGCTCACAGCCCTTTTAGTCACTTAACAAAAATTCACTGGAAGCCTACGGGGCCTGGTGACTCAGCTTCCTAACCTTACAAGGCTCACAGGCTGAGGGGGAAACACTCCCAGGAACCAGCCCTTGCAATGTGGGAGAATGGTGGAGGAGAGGCACAAACACATGAAGGGGCAGTGAAGGCTGTCACTGGGGTTTGAGGGCAGGACACGGGAGGTAGGTGGGGCGTTCTAGGTAAAGAGAGAACAGCGTGACAAAGGCCTGAGGCATGGCAGAGCATGAGGCATGTCTGCTTGGGAAATTGCCAGCCCTGTGGTGTTGATGGGTAAAAAGGAGGGAGGAAGCAGGGGGAGGTTGGGAGGCCAGGATGGGGGCAGTGGTGGCCATGGTAGAATTGTTACAGCAGGAGGAGTTGTGTGGTTAGATTCATGTGCAGATTCATCGCTTCATCCTGTGTGCAGGGGCGTCAGAGAGGCCCAGTGAGAGGAGGGAAGGCGGGGGGTGGGAAAGGGGGATTCGAGAGGTGTGGAGAGGTTGGAGTCAGTGGCGTTGGGTGCAGGCTTGGGATGCGGGGTGGAGGGGGCGCTGAGCAAGCAGGGCATCCTCTGGTTGGCAGGGGCAATGCCCTTTATGGGCTGGAGAGTGTGGTTTTTTTTTTTGTACTAGGACTCAAACTCAGGACCTTATACTTGCCAGGCAGGCACTTGTGCCATTGAGCTCTATCCCCTACCGGCCCTGGGCAGTGTGTTTGAGGTCAGCAGACTTAGGGTAAGGTGAAGGGGTCAGTTTGGAGTTGCTGAATGAGATGCCCAGAGAGAGGTAGGGTGGTAGGGGTCGGGGGAGGATGAGGTCACTCAGGGAATGTATATCGGCAGAAATCCAGGAAATTCCTCAGATGTGAGGATCCGCGACATGTCTTCTGGACATCCTGGGAGCCCCATCCCGACTTTCCCTCTGCACTACCTCCTCCCACCGTCAGAAGGGCTCCCCTACCTACACCTGTGCTGGGCGGGGTGAGGGAGGCTGGAACGGAAGGCAGCTGGCAGGCACTTCCTGGGAAGGGAGACCTGGGGCGCAGTGTCTTGGTGGTTCCTATTCCTCCTCCCTTGGCTTGCAGAGCTGTGAGGCCCCGGGTACCGTTTCTGTCTTTGGACATTTCCCTCTGTGTCCTGGGTGTGTGTGTGTGCATGGGAGTGGGTGGGGAGATCTGAGGTTTTGGGGCTCAGGTACCCAAGGTACAGTCTTGGCGTCTTCCTTGAGGTCCACCTGAACTGCTCACTTCCCTACTCAGCACTCCCCACATGGTCTACAAAGTACAGGGAAAATCACATTTATTGGGGTTTTGATGTTCCCTGTTGCCACATGCAGTGTCCCCACTGCCTCTCAAATCTCCCAGGCTCAGGACCCGGGAGCTGACCTGTGCCCCTCCCATTGCACGCTGGCTTCGGGGTGGGCTTCCTGAGCCCCCACGGCCACTCTCCCCACCTGCCACTACCGTTGCTTGTTTTCCTTAGAGAAACCTACCTGCCGTCTCACAGGTTATGGATACCCACTTTCGTCCATTAGGGCCGACCCGGCCTTCATTAGGACAGAGTTCCCATCCTGGTGGTGCCCTCCCTGGGAGACCACATATGGCGGGCACGTATCGGGAAGGTGACGCCGGTGCCGAGACTTCCGGCGCTGGGGACCCAGGATCTCCATGCACCTCTTGCCCACTAGGTAGGTGACCTCACAGAGGTTGAGCAGGATGCAGATGGCGGCCGTGCCCACCATGAAGTAGGTGAAGATCTTCTTCTCCGTGGGCCTGGAGATGTAGCAGTCCACAGTGTGGGGACAGGGGTCTATACTGCAGTGCACCACGCGGGGCATGTCGTAGTTCTTGTAGAGGTGGTGGAAGATGTAGAGGAAGGTCGAGTCCACGGCGGCCTTGAAGATGAGGCTCAGCAAGTATGTCCACCAGAGCCCGCCGCGCTTCTTGTTCAGGTTGCTGTACAGGGGTGGGGCATTGGGTCCGTGTTTTGCCTGGTGCCTCCGCTCTCGCTCCTCACGGTAGGCCACGTGCATGACCACGAGCAGCGAGGGGCATGTGACCAGGATGAGCTGCAGGGCCCAGAGGCGCACGTGGGACACGGGGAAGAAGTGGTCGTAGCAGACATTGGGGCAGCCCGGCTGGAGGGTGTTGCAGGTGAAATCCTTCTGCTCGTCGTCCCACACATCCTCGGCGGCCACCACGTACACCATCACGCGGAAGACGAACACCACGGACAGCCAGATGCGGCTCAGTGCCGTGGAGTACTTGTTCACGCCACTCAGGAGGCCCTGCAGAAATGCCCAGTTCATGCTGGCTATGTCCTCGGCCTCTCACGTAGACGCGTCTACACCTGTGTGCCACCCACTCAGGCCTTGGGAGCCCGGAGGCCTGGAAGAATCTGGAAATGGGTGCCCTTAATGACGATGTGGCTGACAAAATCATCTCACAACCCCCAGGTCATTATGTCCTCACTTGCAAGGGCTTGCACAGGGAGAGATGGTCATTGTTCACATTTCACAGAAAAGCAAGCTAAGGCCCAGGGGCACCCGCCCAAGGCCCCACAACTAGAAGCAGCAGAACTGGTCTTGAACCTTGGTCTTCAGGTTCCAAAATCAGGGTCTGTTTTATTCTACAAAGTAATAAATACATGTGAAGATATCATCCTGCACGGACCTGCCAGCCAGCGTCTTTGCCACGTGTTTCAGCCTAAAGAGGGTGGACGAGCCCAGCAGCTCTCCCCTAGGCTGCCAGACCCATCTAACTTTCCCTGAGTGCCGCGAGAGCTGGACCCTGGGCTTGGCACATCCACAGCAGCCGCTGGTAGATCCCAGAACAGTGTCCACCCTCTCCTCTCTGCCTCCAGGAGGCTTCCCAGATATTCCTTTCCAAACTAAACAGAGGCACTTTGGAATCATGGCGGCTTGGCATCCTCCCTGCCATGCCGCTAAGCCGGTGCTGGGGCCAGTGGGCTCCTCTGGAATTCCAACTACACTAGCTTCGGGGAGGGTCAGGGGAAGAGGCAGAGGCTGGATTCTGCCCTGGTCTGTGCCTCACTATTGCCTTTCTGTCTCAGGAACACTTCCTTGTCTGCTTAGTGACTACGTGCTAGCCACATCTCCCAATATCTTCATTCAGGTCCCCCTGTCCTACACCCTGTCCCACACTCCCTTGTTAGGAGTCCCTATCATTTTCTGTCCCAAGCCCCACCCTCCCTCGTCCCTGAGTCAGCTCCCACCCTCTTCGGACACTGTACCCCCAGGACATATGGTGAGTATTCTGTCTTCCGAGGCAGAGCACATCTTCTGTACTCAATGGTCTGCTGACCGGTTCTCCTTGACGGACTGCCAGCTACTGGGGGTCACTCTACGCCTCACTCATCGTCCTCCCCAGGACCCAGCTCTGGGCTGGCCCAGGGAACACTCAGTGGGTCCCGGGATCCCTTCTCTTTGTCCCCTCCTCCTTTGGCAGGCAGGATACTCTTTTCCCTCTTTGGAGCTTCCTTGGGGCTCCTTCAGGCGTCGTCCTAAGCCCCTGTCCCACTGCCCCAGCTCCCTGAAGCCTGGCCCCCAGCCTGAAGTCCCTTGGACATCGTCAGCCCCGTGGGTCCCTGCTTCCCAGCCCCTTCACCAGCCCTGTTTGGTCCTCACCTCTCCCTTCTTGCGGCTCCAGCTCACTCTCCTGTCCCTGGGCTGCCCGTCTGCCTGACTGCCTCCCTAAGGTAGCTTTTGTTCCGTCTTCCCAGCAGGGTGGGACTTTCTGAGCCAATGAACCAAGCAAGAGTGATAGGGTGGGTGGGCAGGGCAGGCTGGGCGGGCGGACTTCCCCAGGGAAATATTCAGAGCAAACACCTGCGGCTCTTCTATCCTGGCCCACGCTTCCTCTCCCAGCTTGGCTGGGCTGGCAGGTATGTGGGTGAGAACGCACAGAGGGGGGCAAGGGCTTGGTGTCATGTGTCTAGGCCAGGACGGCACCTGTGGCACTGATCCCTCTTCCTTCCTGATGCCTCACTGCCTTGCTCCGGTGTCCCCAGCCCCCTCTTCAGCCTTTTCCTCTGGAAGCATGGTTCTGAGGTCCTCAGCAACTGACATCTATGGAAAGTGGCAACCTTGATTTAGCCTAGGATAGTGCCCGACCCTGGTGGGGAGATTTCTGCCAACTAGCGCTTGGGCTGCTCTTGGGTTGAATGGACGATGAGAGGGGCGGACTAGAGCTTGTCTAGACCAGGCACCTGCTGCCCTGCTGGAGACAAGGAATGCAGTTTAGCAGCGTGGAATGCCTCAGCTGGCACGGGGCCAGGCACAGCCTTGCCTGTCCATCCTCGTGGGCCGAGGCCTCTGTGCTGCCGGGGAAGTCTTCCAAGAAAGCTGAAGATGACCTAGTGGGGGCTGCAAAGTGGTCTGTGGTTGCATATGGCTGGGATAGGGAAGGTTAATGTGCAGCCGAAGACTAGCCCCTCTACCTCCCTTCTTAGTAGCAGGGATTCACATTTATGTGAACTTTTATAGCTCGCTAACCCTATTCACAGCTGTGACCTCACGGTAGCCCCACACGCTAATCATTACTAACCCACTTTGGAGAGGAGATGGAGTTACTTTGCCGAGTCCCAGTTGTGCTTGGGTTTGTGCTGACCCCAGAGTCCACGCACTTTCCGTATAGTATGCTTCATTCCTTATGGAGCTATCTCGTGGGCCTAAACTTGCAGGCTAGCCCGAGCATGAGCAAGTGGCATGGTCCCTTAGGGTGCTGGGGCACCCTTCTCAGGAGGAGAGGAGGCCCCTCAACTGGCTACATCAAGTGTAGTATTTTGCATGGGTAGAGAGGTGCACACACTGGCGTGATAGTGGTCACAGGCCAAATGACAAAGGGCACCTTAGATCAGTGAATGCATTGACCTTTATTAAGCCCTGACCGTGGGCCTCACATCAAAGGTGCTTGCCTACCTGTTCTCCGATTAAGCTGCTCCTTACCCACCCCCCACGTGGTGGTCCTCTACATCGGCATTTTACAGCAGAGAAACTGAGGTACAGGGCAGAGGGACCACCACCTGTCCAGGTCGCCAGAGCTGGGGCCAGGACTTGGAGATGAGAAATAGGGACTGGACCCCATGCCACCTGAGTCCTCCCTTGGGCCTGCCTCTAAGTCATTACCCCGCTCCTCCACCCTCAGACTGCACTTGTGAGAAAAGCCAGAACCTCCCAGGCCAGGCCCGCGCCACAGGTCCAGCCAGGCAGCCCCTCACACGGCGGTTTTCTTCACATAGTCTCGGGGACCGTCTGGCAGGAGCGGAGGGTGAACGTCAGAGCCCAGAAAGATGAGGTCTCCTGAGAGGAGGTCGTTCTGCTTGCAGGAAGCGGTGACACAGTCTGGGACATGCCCCACCGGTGCCGCCAGTCTCTCCCGACACCGCTTGCTCACGAGGTAGGACAGTTCCACGAGGTTGAGCAGGATGCAGACAACGGCCGTGACCACCATAAAGACAGTGAAGATGTTCTTCTCAGAGGGCTTGGCGATGAAGCAGTCCACTGTGTTGGGACAGGGAGCCAAGTGGCACTTGACCACAGGAGGGAGGATGTATCTGGGGTAGAAGGAGTGGAACACATAGAGGAAGGTGACATCTATGCCGGCCTTAAAGACCAGGCTGAAGACGTAGGTCCACCACAGCCCACCCCGCTTCTTGCCAGGGTCCAGGTAGAGGCGCCCGCAGCCCTCCCCAGCCGCCTCTCGGTGCTTCTTCTCCTTAGCCTTGCGGTAGGCCACGTGCATGACCACGAGCAGCGAGGGGCACGTGACCAGGATGAGCTGCAGGGCCCAGAGGCGCACGTGGGACACGGGGAAGAACTGGTCAAAGCAGACGTTGGAGCAGCCCGGCTGCAGGGTGTTGCAGTCAAAGTCCTTGTGGTCGTCACTCCACACACGCTCGGCCGTCACCACGTACACCAGCACGCGGAAGATGAAAACCAAAGACAGCCAGATGCGCCCAAAGGCCGTGGAGTACTTGTTGACCCCACTCAGGAGCGCCTCGAAGAGCCCCCAGTTCATGGTGGACCCAGGTGTTCGTTGTCACTGCAGGGAAAGGATCAAAACAATTTGCCAAGTTGAAAAAAGCTTGCTCTGAGCCCTTCATAGAAATGTGCCGTCATATTTAATCCTCACAACCACCAGGGGAACCGGGCTTTTTACCGTCCCCATTTTATAGATGGGGAAAAGCGAGATTCAGAGGCAGAACATGAGCTTATACAACTGTTGGGTGCAGAGGTGGGACCGGAGCACAGGTGATTAAGTCAGACCTCAACTCTACCCATACCAGTGGGTGAAGGCAGGTCTAGGGAGCTGCCCGTTAGGTCCCAAGAATCCTGCAGAGACCTATGGGCATCGCACCTTCTGCATCACACTGTTCAACTGTGGGGCCTGGGCTTCGGGGTGACCTCTCCTCTTTCTGAGCACTGCCTTCTCCCTCAGACAGCCCCCTCCCAAGGGAAGCCTGCGCTCTGTCCTTTGCTGGCTCAGGGGGTGGGACTGGAGTGGAGGCTGGAAGCTTGTCTCAAGCCTCTACCTGGTCTGACACTCTATATCTGGTCAGTGTACTGCTCGGGTGGGACCCACCCAAATCAAGGTCAGTGGCAGTCCATCTGGGCTGAGAAAAGGATTCTGTGTTCAGGAGAAGTTAGCAAACTCTGGGTTCAGTAAAGTTAAATAGGTCCCATTATGCAACCATGCTACTAAATTCACTCTACGACTCTCCAAAAGAGGGATGAACTAGGCAGCACTGCCCAAACTCCTGACCACAGAACCGCTGCAGGGCTTTGATCATCTTTCAAAGCAGCCCTGTCCAGACGCCAGCACGGGAAATGCTGCTCTGGTCAGTTCTGCTGGTGCGTCTGGCTTGAGGTGCACGTGCAGGCAGAGTTGCCTCCATTCAGGGAGTGAGACTGCTGTGCAGAGGCAGGGTGCCTGCTTCCCACTGGGAACTCCTCTGCTTAAATCCTGGGGTACACTGAGACCCAGGCACCGTAGTTTCACCTGGTGTGCACTCCGGGGACCCCAGGGAGCCTGCGCTCTAAGGGGTCCTCGTGCCCTCCATGCACTGGTGAGGTGGAAGGTCACGGCCCTCCTGAGCCCCCTCACCTCTGTGTGCTTTACTACTGCCGAGCTGGGTGGTGGGAACAGCCAGCATGGATTGGCTGTTTGACGGAAGCTGTTGTAAGCACGATGCCAGAACCAATACACTGTTCCTTCACAGTGACCATAGGAAGGCTGGATCTTTTATCCCCAGTTTACAGATGAGGAAAATAGAGCACAGAGTGACTGCTCACTGTTACGCGCAGTAAGCCACGGAGCTGTGATTTAAACCCCAGCAGGCTGGATCCAGGGCCACCCTCTGGGAACTGCCTAGTCTCGGGTGGGCCCCCTTCCTCAAGTTTCGGTGAGCTGCCTGCTCCTCCTGGTGGATCCCGGGAGGGAGGCTGGGGTGTCTGTCCTCCCCACCCTGCCTCTCCACACCACCTCCCACTTGGACTCCGGCCCCTCTCTGAGTCATCAGCTTCTCCGCTCAGTCCAGCCTCAGGTGGGTGGGACCGGCAGCCTCTCCCGAGCGCTGGGGAGGCCCAGCCCTTAGCCCCAGGGGTTCTCACCCAGCTAGCCCTGCACTCAGTAGGGGACGAGGAGAGCGGAGCCTAGCGGCAGACCGAGGCTCAGCCTGCCCACGAGCTTGGGCTCTCAGCCCCCTTCCCACTGAGTTCCTTGCTCCCACCTACCCCTGCTGGGGAGCGCGGGAAGAGTCAGAGGGGAGAGGGGGGGTCTTCATTCCTGTACCACAGGACTCCGGGGCCGGAGCACTCAGGCCACCTCCCTCTACTTACCACCCGAGAAATCCCTCTTGCCAAGTATGCAAAGGGCAGGGCACATCTGGACACGGACGCTTTTCCCTGAGCCGCTGCTCCTCAGCGCCGTCCCGGAACCCGCCTGTGGCAGCCGGCAGTGGAACTCAGCGAGCTGCGGAAAGTCATGTCAGAACTGAGGATGGTGTCTGGGGAAGCACGTTCCTCGGCCAGAGCCTGCGGAGCAGCCTGGGTGTGTGCGGCAGGCCAGGGGAAGAGGAGGAGCTGCGGCCTGCGCTGCCATTGGCTGAGCCCCGGCCTCCCTGACTGCCTCCCTGGAGGCTCGGGAAGCTCAGGGATTCAGTGCTCAGCCTGCAGACCCCGGGATCCCGGAATTCTCCCCGAGAACCACAGGCCCACGCTGAGCCCCTGCTTACCCTCCCAGCCCTGGGCTTGTGTGGGAGGACTGGATTTCTGTCTTGCCTCCTCATTCCTCTTCCGCAGTTCTTGGCTGCGAACTCTTAGCCCTTCTCTGGCTTCTGTGGGCTGCTGTCTGGGTTCTGGTCGCTGGCTGGTTGCTCCTGAGTGGCTCTCCATTCTCACGGCGCCAGCCGCCTCTGAAACATTGCCCTTCTCAATTTGTAACTGGCCCAGAGGCCTTTTTCTCTCCAATCGCCCCACCGGGACACCCTTCTCCGGCCTTCCTCCTCACCTGTCAAGGCCTTTGAAACTTGGTGGAGCAGAGTCTCGACTCTGAGTGACTGCACCCGGGCTCCACACTCTCCGTCTGGGTCCCACGCCTCTGCAGCTGGGTGCAGCTCCTGCCTCTGGTCGTCTCACTCCTTTGGGTCTAATGCCGCTATCTTCCGACCCCATACTTCTGCATGTGGTCTCTAAACCCCCGAGTCAGGAGTCCACAGCTTTTGCATCTGGACCCACTACTCTGCCCCTATACCCCACAGTATGGGCCCCTCACCTCTGCGCTGGGTTCCTCACCTCTGCATTTGGGCCTCACTCCCTTGCACCAGGAGCTCATCTGCAGCGCCCCCTCCCCCCGCATCTGGAGCCCACACCTCTGTAACTGGGCCCCTCACCCCTGCATCTGGACCTGCCACCCTGTGCCTGGAGCCAAATACTCCTGTAGCTTCTTCTTTTTTTTTTTTTTTTGGTTTTTCTCCCGTACCGGGAATCGAACTCAAGACCTTGCGCTTGCCAAGCAGGCGCTGTGCCACTGAGCTAAATCCCCAGCCCCTCCTGTAGCTTCTGTCTGGCTCCCACGAACCTGCATCTGGAATCTCACAGCCTGCATTTGAATCTCACCCCTTCCAGATTTTGATCTGCCACTTACCTGCCCCCTCTCTGTACAAGGAGACGCCCTGCTCCTGTGAAAGCTGTCATGAGAGGATGCGGAGGGACAGAACGCACAGAGTGGCCCAAACTCTGGCTCTGCCACTTCCTTACTGTGTGCAGCCTCAGCTTGTAAATGGGGAAACAACAGCAACCCGCTCCTAGCGCGGGTGCATGGATTCACCCGGCCTGGAGGTGAACTTCTCAGAGTGCTCCCTGGCTCCAAGGAAGCCCTCTCTGCAGTGGCCTCTCGCAGAGGTAAACTGTCCGGCTTGGGCAGCATAGATGAGGTAAAACATTGTGAGAAGGACTGTAAGAGGCATAGAGAAGGGAGGGTCAATATTTGCCAGAGGGAGCCCCAGAGAAGTGGCATTTAAGCTGGTTCTTGAAGGGCTTGTAGAAGAGGAGGGGAGGCCTTCGAGGCGTGGGCACAGCGTGCAGAGGCCTCTGTGAAAGATGCGGGAAGGGCCTTAGACAGAGTGAGGTAGGAGGGAGAGCAAGGACACATGAACAACGGGAAGTTACAGGACACAAATTGAGAAGCCAGATGGAGCAAGGAAAAGCTGTGTCAGAACATAGGGAAACCAACAGTAAAGGTCACCCTGTCCTGCAACGCCCCAGGCATATGCAGAACTGAAAGTACAGAATCCTGCTTGCGTCCACTTCATTTGCATTGTGGTTTTGACCCCTCCCCACAGTGGGCTTTGGACTCCATGACACTTCCTCTAAAAGCTTTGTAGGGTAAAAAATTCCTACTCTTGGGGCTGGGGATTTAGCTCAGGGGCAACGTGCCTGCCTGGCAAGTGCAAGGTCGTGAGTTCGATTCCTGACACCGGAAGAAAAACAAACAAAAAATTCCCACTCCTGAGGGGTGGGCAGCGTCAGATGCCCTACTGGGCCATGACTTATCAATTCCCAGTTATAGAGCTTCCTGTAATCCCAGGCAGGACCTTAAGACACCCAGTACCTGCCCCTGTTGGGGTCATGAACTCTTCTCACTGGCCTGTTCCTACCCTGTGATGTGTATTTTTGCATATTTATTTATTTATTTATTTATTTATTTATATATTTTTTTGTCTTTTTGAGGCAGGGTCTTGCTCTGCAGTTCAGGCTGGCCTTGAGCTCATTTTGTAGCTGAGGCTGGTCTTGAGTTTGCAATGATCCTCCTGCCTCAAGCTCCCGAGTGCTGAGATTATAGGCGTGTGCCACCACATTCAGCTTTATTTTTATTTTTTTTTTCCAGCTTTATTTTTTATTTTTCAGATTGGGTCTTGCTATGTAGTTTAGTCTGGCCTTGAACTCACTGTGTAGCCCAGGCTGATGTTGAACTCATGGCTATGCTCCTGCCTCGGCCTCCTGAGTGCTGGGATTACAGGTGTGCACCACCACGCCTGGCTCGTATTTTTGCATCTTTTACTTTCAATAAATCTAACTCTGTTTTATTTTGTTTTTTCTTTCTTTCAACAGGGTCCTGCTATGTAGTTCAGGCTGACCTTGAACTCACTATGTGGCCTAGTCTGGCCTGGACCTTACAGCAATCCTGCTGCCTCAGCCTCCCAAGTGCTAAGATTACAGGCACTTGCCCAGCTCTTGTTACTCTTTGAGTGTCCTGTACAATTCTTTGTTTGGGGGGCTGGGGATTTAGCTCATTGGTACAGTGCCTGTCTGGCAAGTGCAAGGTTGTGAGTTCGGTTCCCGGTACCAGAAAAAAACACAACCCCCCACCCCCCAAAAAAAACCCCGAAAAAACAACTAATTCTTTGTTTGGGATACTAAGAACCTGGAAAGGGCTGAGATGCCTGAGATGCCCAAGATTCCCTGAGATGCCTTATCTGTTGACAGGAGGGCTGGGGCTGCTGTGGTCAGGGCTCACATGACAGGTACCTGGAAAGCTGACAAAGACCTTCCAGGTACCTGGAATATCTTGCTGAGGAGTTTTATTATCTTGTGTGCAGAGGGAGACAGGGAGACGTTTTAAACAGGAAGATACACGGTCACACTGGTACCATTGATTCTCATTACCCCCAGTGTTTGTTTCTGTAAGTCACTATGAATACCAGGTGTTATGGCTTCTATGATTGGGTTATATGGCATCATAGCTGCCTTGCTGTTAGCAGGTGGGGTCAGGCTGACCCTTCCCGGCTCTTCCCTTGACTCACTCTGCTTGCCTGCTGCAGCTTCTCCTCTGCCAGGCTGTTTGCCTTGGAGCCAGTGGATTATGGACTGAAACCTCTACCAATTGTGAGCATAATACACTTCCCCTCCTTTGAATTGTGGGTGTTGGGTGTTTTGTTCTAGCAGCGAGGAAAGTAACAAAGACTCCAGGTCAGTAAAGAGTGACCATTGCTCCCAGTAGAAATACCAGGCCGGGTTCCTGCGAGCCTCTGGTTATATTTTCACCTGATCAGTACATCGCCCTGTTTCCTGTGTGCTTCTGTTTAAAGATGTCTTGAAAACAGAGCAGTGATTTGGCAACGCTGAGCTCATGGCCGGCCACTGCCCCTGCCAGAATGAGGCTCATCGGCCACACATTTCCTCCTGGAGGCGCCTCACAGCCTGTCCTTCTTAGGAAGGCGGGACAGCTCGTCCGCACTGTGCCTGTAATGTCACCAAGAAAAAGCATAAAAAATGAGAAAAATGCGGCACTCAATAGACCCCTGTGAGACATGTGTGAACTCAGATGGGAGCTGGAAGAAGGCAGAGCGCCGCCTTGTTTGGTCCCAGCTAGGACCGTGTGTGCATTGCGTGACTCCAATTTCTCACCACTTTTGGTGTGTGGTTCATGGACTCAAGTATGGATTTGGGGGCTACAGGTGAATTTTAGCCAGCAGGTGAACTCCCTGCGCAGAATCTGTGTGAGGGAGGAGCTGCCAGACGGTTTAACTTGCCTCTTGTGGGAGAGAGGAGCCGGGGCAGGGCTGGTGGGACCAGGGGAGGTTACGGTCAGCATTTAAGCCAGAGCCGAGCAGGGGGCGGGAGGAGGGACACCGGTGCTAAGGGAGCACTACCTGCAGGTTTGGGGGCAGCCTCCAGCGGCTGCGCAGGCCGTGTGCCCCTGCAGGAGGACGGGCCGGGTTCTCGTGGGGAGCGTCAGGGAAGGGCTGCGTAGGGCTGTCACGGATGCTGGTAGGGTTAGTGAGCTCTGTGTTGCGGGTGCCCAGAGGCAGCCTTGAGGACCTCTGGCCATGGGTGGTCCTCAGTCCACTGGGATGGCAGGAGTTGCAGGACTGGTGGAAAGGTGGGGTCAGGCCCAGCTCCTGGGGGGCACTGACACTGAGAAGTAGGCAGAGATAGAGGTGTCTGTGGAGGAGAAAGAGTGGTCCGAGATGGAGAAACTGGGGTTACGGGGGGGGGAGGGGGAAGAAGACGATGAAACGAGGTCCAGGGAATGGTGACTCTTACCAGAGTCATTTCAGTAGAGGGAGGGCGAGAGAAGCCGGGGGTGCAGGTGGGAAAAGTATAGACTGTTCCTTTTCTGGAAGGGAGAGAGGCAGGGCCTCAGGAAGGGACAGGGCCGAGAAGATTTGCTTCTTCACGGGAACCAGGAACCAGACGGGATGCACGGTGGAGGGCAGGGCCTGGAGAGCTTCCTGCGTGCAGCGGACCTCACCTCACACCCTCCTCTGCTGCTTCCCCACGCTGCTCCTTCCAGTCAGGTTTCCCCGACCCTCAGCCGGCTTTGTCACCAGCTTTGACACTTTGCTTGCCTGCCCATCCCAGGAGGTGGCCCCGGCTCCTCGCTGCGTCCAGCCTGCTGGCCGCTGCCTGTGCTGTGGTTGTCACACGTGGGTGGGAGCAAGGCTCTGCTGGAGTCCACGCTCCCTGCTTGTGCCGGATTGACAACTGGTGGTCAACTTATAACACGCAGCTGAACTGAACCGGCGTGGTGCTGGGCGTGGGAGGCCCAGCTGAGGACTGTTGCCAGCAGCATAAGAGGCA